AGCTTCAGCTCCTGTTGGCTGCTCTGAAACAGCTGCCATTGCTGCCTGACCAAGCTAGCAAAACTCAATTTATTGTTAAGCGCCGCAGGGCCACTGTCCGTAGCTGCCTTGGCTACTGCCAGCCGGCCACCCCACCTCCTGTCGGCGACTCTCTGACCTACCCCCTGCCCCTTTAGACACTTCCTTCTGTTCAGCAATTTTCTATAGCTTTTGGTTTTGCCTTTCGCCTTGTGGTTGTTTGTGGGTTTTGGCTCCTGATGCGGTTCGCATATTTCTGTCTTGCTGCCGACTGCTGAAAATTGAAAATCATAATCGCATCAACTTTAACAGCAGCACAAAAGTTTAGTTTTTTTTTTCTTTTCTTTCGTTCAGCAAACTTTTTGCGTCTCGAGCGAGTGCCTTCAAGTAGGCAACGAAATGGCCAGAAAAGTTGCCCAAAAACATTCCTAGCCAGATAATTTGCACTGGATTAGTGGGGCCAGAGCAGAGCAGAAAAGATATATAGTAGCTGTGTGTGTGTGTGTGAGTGAGAATGAGTTTATGGTCGGTGGCTGGTTAACCTTTTGCCTTCACTTATTCAGTCCGTTATCACGCTTGGAGCATAACAATGCGCCCATTTAAAGTTTAGCTGAAGTGCATTTAACAAGTTTTATTTGTTGATAGAGCTTTTCGAAAAGTTGTGAAAACACATGCAAGCTTGCAGGCTATTCGAATAGCAGCTTTCAGCTAGTTGGCGCTGTGAATATCATGAAAGCACCTTAAAAGCTGACTTTAATTGCTGCAAGTTTAATTTAACTAAGTGTTAGTTATACGATATCAAAATATTGAGTCTTTCGTGGTTTACCTTATATCTGGTAGCTAAGGACTTATAGAGGTTAGCTCCTAATAAGCTAGTTTATGTAACTGACACGCCTGGCAATGCCTGATATTCCAGAAAACACATGAAGCAGATTCTCAACTTAAAATAATTAATAATTAATTAAATAAAATGTAACACAAAGAAGCCACTGAGAACCTCTCAGAAGAATTTACTTTGTCAATCGTAAATCGGTAAATGATAGTTTCAAGAGGAAAGCTCATCAAATCTCACAGTTCCATATAATTGCTAAAAGCTTCCATTTCACTATAGGAAAAAAAACCCGAAATTTTGGCATAAATTTTGTGTTAATTTTTTTATTTTTTTATTTTTAGTAATGCTTTTTAGTAAAATACTCAAAAACACAACGCTTCTCTTAGCTCTAGTGATTAATTATACAAAGTTCATTATTTTATCTGAAAGCTTCCCATCAAAAAGAAAGTTTCTTTACAGCTTTTAGCTTATTAGGCTGTCGAAAAGCTTTGCTTTACTAGCCACCGAAATTCTACATAAAACTCTTTGAGCTGCTATCAGCTGGCAGCGCATCAAAATTCGCTGCACGCTCAACTGGAGGCGACTCCAGTCACATAAAACAGTGGCGTGCAACATAAACAGTAAGCTGGCAAAAAAAAAAAACAAAAAGTTTTCAGCTCAAGTGACGTTAACTAGTTGGCTGCTGGCGGGCAGCTCAACAGCTCCAATGCTCCACTGCCGCTGCTGCTGCTGGCTTTAAAGTTGCCAAGTTATTTGCCAGCAATCAGAATCAGTGCAGGCCAAACAACTTGCCGCAAGCAGCCGGCTGTGGCATCGTATCGTATATTAAGTGGCTCGTCTGCAGCTTCCAGTCGTTGCGTAGGTTGCACTCACTTAGCGCTGCCCGTCTGTCTGCTGCAACATGATGTGGCAAGTTCTGTTCCTGTTCCTCGTACAGCGCATTCTGCTGCGTAATTGTTGATTTTATGCGTACAGGCAATGCCATTAAGTCTTTGCAACATTCTGGCTACCGTTGTCAGCGTGAAATGCGTCGAGTGGACATGCAGCACCAAGAAGACACGGTCAGCAATTAAGTCAAACCTGTACCACAAATGGCAACGGCAACGGCAACGGCAACGGCAGCAGCAACATCAGCAACATCGAGTTGCAACCTACTTGTTCAGGCTTCACTAATTAATGTCAATGTCAAGTGGTGCAAGCAATTGAAATCGCTTAGAATCAAGCTGCCAATGCGACGAGAACTTGCAGCTAGGGCATCGAATTAAGTTGCCAGGCAGTTTAGCTGGAGGCTAAAGCAGAGCTTTTAAAGCACGCGTTAATTGTTGACTAATTATTGGTCACGTCAGGTCTACTGTGGTATGTTGTAGCAGACTTACCAGGCACTTTAACATGCATTTTAAAATCCGAAATCCGCTTAAATTAGATGAAGCTAACAATGCACTTTGACATGCATTGTAACAATAATTGGCATCACAATTTGAGCATTTAGTCTAACAGCTCAATTGCTCTCACTCTTCCTCTCACGAACTACTCCAAAAATAATTAGATATCAATGCGAATAACTGTCATAAACCACTTTGGGCACTTAATTAATCCAATTAAAGCCATATTGGAATTTGCGATCAAATTAAAAAACAAAACAAAAAAGAACGAAATTCGACCCTACGCAAATAATGAAATTAATTTGTTGAATAATTACAAGCTGGGCAATAACACAAGTGAACTCATTATGTAATGAACGGTCCTTTTCGTACGGTAAAACAGACACACACACACACACACATACACAAACAGCAACAAAACAGAAAGCGGCGAACATCATAATAAAAATAACATTAAAGTGGCAAGGCAAAAGGGATCATAAAAATGAAATCAACGTATTAACTACATGGCAGACAGCAGCCACACACACACACACGCACGCACGCACACGCACACAGACACATTTATAGTCATAACAAGCTCACGCCATATCCTCATCCAGCAGCTGGGCAGATAAAACGCAACGAAATAAAATCAATTCAAATAAAAGCATAAATACGACCACAGGAAATGAAAATGACGATGACTCCGTTGCCTTTACACTCTCCCTCTCACACTCTGTCAATCTCTCACTCTCTCTCTCTCACTCACTCACTCTTCGTTCTGTTGCTGCCCACTAGCATACGCAGCACCCAAAATGCTGGCGCCTCCCACCCTCAAGGGTTCGGCCTGCAGATGACTGTAACTGTTCAGCCCGAGGGGCAGAAAGAGACGGATGGGGAATGGGTGTGTCGGCAGCAAGGGGGCGAGAGCAGTGCAGAGCAGGACGAACTGAGCTGAACATGTAAGCGCGCATTTTACGGCACAAGCATTTTCGCTTAATAAAATGTTAAGTGGGAGAGAAAAAGGGCGGCAGACAAAAAGCGACAGCGCCACTGTGAAGTTGACTGTGCGTGAATGTGAGGCAAAAGGACTTGCCGAGAGAAACGACAAATAGACAGACAAACAGAACGCCCAACTGTCAGCCAGACAGACGGACGGACTGACTGCCAAGCCAAGCCAAGCCAGGCCAACCCAAGCGAAGCAGTGGGGCAGGCAGAGTCGTAAAATTATATTTACAACACAAACAAAGCTGTCGACAAGGCAGCAGCAGCAGCAGCAACGCCAGCAGCGACTGCGACGACAAGAGCGAAGCTGAATACAATGATAAGCATGAAGCGGATGAGAGACCCACACACACAAACACACACACAAACACACACACACACAGGCAGACATTCTGTTACACGTACACGTGCTCTTTTCCCGTCTTCCTCTTACACTCCTACTCCCACTCTCCCATAAAACTTGAAGCGCCTGCAAAAAGGGCGCCGTGTGCTTTGTTGAACGTCAGGCAAGAGATGGAACCGAGGCGCCCAGCAATTTCCCGCACTCAAAAAATAACAATGGCGCGTTGAAAATATCCGCTTCCGCTACCGAAGGCACAAAAATACAAGAAATAAAAGAAAAGACCAAATCTATGCTAACACGAGTGCGAGTGAGAAAGAGAGAGAGAGGACACACAAACACACACACACACAAGACGGCAAGGCGCAGAGCAGCTGCGACTTTCGCTGTAGTTCGCTGTAGTCTGCTTTTTTGACTAAACGGCGAGCGTGTGAATGAGACAGAGCATAAAAACGCCAGAACGTGCGACTGGCAAGCGCAACACTCCAAAAATACCAAAAAGATGAAGAAAAAAAATATAAAAAAAAGTTTAATTCAATTTAAACACAATGAAATCATATTTTGCAACAAAATGTACAAAATTCAGTTTTGCCCCATGGAAGCTGACAACTTGAAAATGCTTTTCATTTGCTCGACTTTATGTGTGTGGGTGCGTGTGTATGTATGAGTGTATTTGAGTGTGTATTTACGTAGCTTTGGCAGCTGGCAATTCCATTTCTATTAGCATTAGCTGGACAGCCAAATCATGGTGTGGCAGGTATATTTATCTGTGTGTGTGGGTGTGTGCCTGTGTGACTGCTGCGGGTGTTGTTTGGATAGCCATGCGACTAGAATATGTTGGCATAAATATTTATACGCTTGCAGCGCCGACACAAACACAGACGCAGTCGACAAGCCAAAGCACAAATATGCAAAGCTCTCAAGCTACTGTGTGTGAGTATTTCCGTGTGCGTGTGTATGTGTGCGTATGCATGACTTTGGCTTCTGTGCACAGTGGGAACTCATTGGAGTGAACAAGTGCGCTTATATAAAAAATTGGATTAAATTAATATTGTGTAGAAATTAAATATACAAATTGGAGTTACATCAAAAATTAATAACATATGGTCAATCCTATAGATATACAGCAATGTTATTTCTTTATTAAAAACAGTCGTAAATACACGTTTAGAAATACTGAACATATTTTTATGATATAAAAAAAATAAATTACAAAATTCTGTACAAATTATTTTTCTTATAAAACTTCAAGCACTAATGCACGCTCACTGCCTCTCTCACTCTTATTTTTTCGCTCTTTGCATAGTACAGCTTGTGCTCTTAATTAAATTCACTATGTGGGCTTGACTGTATGATGGAGTCTTTGCTGTGCATGCGTGCGGCTGTGTGTGTGTGAGTGTGAATATATGTGTGTGACTACTTGAAAATCACATTAAGCCCGCTGGCATAGCTCTGCCACCAAGTAGGCAGCCAAGGATGTATGACTGACTAACCGTATCTCTCTTTATCTCTTCATCTCTCCCGCTCTCCTTCTGTCTGACTGCCCAATCGTTGTATTTGCAAATGGCAACTTGGACTTCAGTGGTTGCTGTTGTTGTTGTTGTTGTTGCGCCTTTTGCCAGTTTTTGCGATTGTATGTGTGTGTGAGTGTATCTTGTTTATTATTCATGCTGTGTGCTCCTTTACACCATTACAAGGTCCTTGTGGCTGACGCTGCGCTCTGTTTAAATGGCGCATAAAATATTAATGGCTTCATTAGCATTCGCACAAATTTCTCATAATTACATAATCAGAAGAGGAGTCGCAGGGCGACCAAAAGGGGAGCCAAATCGAAAACGATGTGCAACATTTTGTGGCAACAAAGCCGCTTTATAGTATGAATTATATACAGTTTTCCACAAAACTGTACAGACGCACAAAGCCTTTTTGGCCAAATTGAGGTCCCTTTGCTGGGCAACGCACTGAGCCGTTAAGTGGGCGGCCAGGGGGAGGAGTTCAAAGTGACAGCAAACATTTTGCCTATGAGCTGGCCGGGATTTGAAATATTGCCGTGCGCATTTGAAAGCAAGAGAGAGATAGATACAGAGAGAGAGAGAGAGAGCGAGTTGAATGAGATGGCAAGCAATAAAATGAAAAATATTTGAACTTTAGCAAAAAGCGCACAAGGATATCAATTCCCAGAAGCATACAAAAATACACAAATGCATGTGCCAGCATGTGTGCGTGTGTATATGTATATGTGTGTGTATGCGTAGTCAAATCCAACTAGAATCAGAATCACAGCAATAAAATTGAAAGAGCGTGCACGAATGCCAATAGAAAACAAACAGCAAGGAGAGGAGAAGCAGAGGCGGATGGGCTGCTCAGTATATTAGGTTGAAGCACAAACAAGTTTTTTTCGGCACACAAATGGGACATAAGAGGCAAAAAAAAAAAAGAAGAAGGCGAAAAGAAAGAGACGTAGAGAAAGGACGAAGGCAACGACAGACAACGTTTATTTGCCTTTTTGCCTCAATGGCAGCAAAGGCGAATTTAAAATGAGAAACAAAATCAACAACAACAATAACAAGAACAACAACAACAACAAAAACATTGATGAGTGATTCGTGTCAAATTCAGCAAAGCTTTAGAATGTGTCATCCGATATGTAATAAGCTAGAGCACGTGTCCTGCGAAAGGAAAACAATATTAAGGCAGTCAAAGGTACACAAAGGTCAAACGGAACATTATGGCTTTATTTTGCGCCTAATAAATCTCATTATGTCATTATATGCTCGAGCAACAACAACAACCATAACAAGAAACAGCAGAGGTAACCGAAACAGCCGAACAAAAAATAAATAGTAGCCGCTAACTGCGCTGCCGGCTTCGTCGTCGACGTCGTTGAAACGGCAACAGCCAAACGACATGCCAATCAGTAATCAATCCGCACGCACATTGACAACGAGGACGTCGCCAGCTCTGCCGCGCTCTCTCTTCTTCGACCAAAAACAATTTGCTAAGGCAGATATGAGTGATTGCAATTGTATGAAATACCAAATACCCTGTATGCTCAAGAATTTCGTCCATATAAAGAGAATTTTTAAATTATTTGTTTGAATAAAAAGTTGTTTGTTTTGCTTAAATCAATACAGCACAAAAATAACTACTATTTTTTATAGATGTCTTCATTTTATAATGAATTATTCTTATTGGAGTCTTATTGGTCTGGTTGTGCCAACTCAATGCTGCCAATAAGAAACTCTACAAAAGGAGCAGCAGCAATGCTGGCAAGTGAGACCACACGACGTCACAGTAAACAAAATGAAAAGAGATAAACATAGAGCAGCACTGCGCAACATGGCGTCAGCAGCAGTCAGCGGCACTGGCGTTGAGCGCGAGCGAGAACGAGAGCGCCCAGAGAGCGAGCGCACAGCAAAAACGCCGCCATTAAAGAAATTCCTCTCAGAGAGTGCGACGTGTATATGTATGGGAATGCTTTAGTGTGCGGCATGCGTGTGCAAATGCCGCAGAGTTGTCGACATACGAGCGATAAAACCAAATAAACAGTCAGGTTAAGTTATATACTAAATTTTATACAATACGATTATATTTTTAATAACCAAAAAAATAGGTGGATTATTGCAGTTTTAAAGTTTGTGGTTTTTGTTGTCAGTTTATTGGCTTGTTTACTTGAAGACTTTAGTTGGCAACCCTGGCTTGCGCGCCGCTGTGTTGCCAGCGAGAGCCGCTCAATTTATGCGCTTTTTGTACGCGTTGCTCCTTCGTGGCGGACAGTACGGATGAAACACTGTCGACGCAAACTAGGCGAAAAGTTCTATGAGAAATAACAAAAAAAAAAAAAAAAAAAATTTAAAAAAACAATCCAACATTTTTAGCATAAATTGTGTGCTAAACCATAAGATTTCCATGAGCAAATAGGCAAAGGTAGTAAATCATATTTCATGCCTCACAATAATTTATGCAAATAATAAAGTGCTCATGTGTGTGTGTATGTGCGTGTATTTGTGTATTAATTTATTCAAACAACACAATAGCAAAAAGTGTTAAAAAAAAATTGTCTTGCGTCTATGCCACCTTCTCTTCGTGCTCGCCGCGGCGCGTCTTGTTTCTCGGTGTATTCGCGTTTGTGTTTGTCTGTTTGTGTGCATGAGTGCTTTAAGCAATTAACCAGCAGCAGTGTAGAAATGCCAAAAACGCATTAAAAATTATTACTCGTTGGCTGTCTGTCATTCACAAGAAACAGCAAAAGCAACAACAACAACAATACACAAGTGCTTTTTGCCGCCGCTACTCATAAAACAAATTACCCACTTGGGCTTGACTGTTATGCGTGCGTGCGTATGTGTGTATATATTTATATATATATTTGTATATGTGTGAAAAGAGCAGCGTAATCATCATCAGCAGTCGCTGACTGACACAAGCAAAGCTACAACTACACTCATACATATATATATATGTACATACACTACTATATACGAATACTGATGCAAACAAAAAAGTAGTAAGCAGTCGCCGCAATAGTAGTAAAACGGCCAAAAAGGCAGTGGCAATATGTTGCCACCAACAACAAAAACAACAACCACAGCAGCCGTATAATACCGGAATAAAATTTCTATACAGCCCGCTTGTCGACGTCGTCGTCGTCTTCTCTCACATGAGCTGTGCATATGTATGTGTGCATTACTCTCGCTCTTGCTCTCGCTCTCAGCTGCTGCTCTCTGTCGCTCTTGTACTATGGCTGCAGTGAGCGACAGTTTTTTATTTTTTTTTCGGTTATAGCAACAATGTTGAGCAGCAGAAGCATCGCGTAGCGAAGTTGTTGGCGTTAAGGCAAATGTTTGTGTGTTTGTAAATGCGATGCATACACATGTATGCGTACATTTTGCATGGTTGTGTGTGTGTGTGAATATGCGAGTTTTTTATGTTTCGCACAAACATTGCGGTAAAAGAACGCCGACAAACGTTCGTCGTTGGTCGCTTAGTCGCTCTCACTAATTGTGACGTCTGCGCGCGTGCGTCAAGTCGGTCGGTCGCTCCGTCTGTCTGTCGTTCGGTCCGTCGGTTGGTCGTTTGGTCGGTCATTTCGTTGTACAACTAACTCCCCCGTGTATTTTTTACTTCAATTGTGTATGCCTGTGTGTGTGCGCGCGCTCCAAACATACTCACACACTCGCACACACAGCTTCGCCGTTCGCGCGCTCTCGCTCTCACACAAAGTGCCGTTTTTGTATTTGTAGAAGAAGAAATAAAAAAAGAAAACAACTAACCTCATAAAAAAGTTCATGCAGTGAAAAAAAAAAAATAAACCAAGAAAATTTGCCAGAAGCATATTTGTCAAATAAAAAAAAGTAATAACAGAAAAAAAGAAAAGTAAAAGAGTGTGCGCAATCTGTACCCTTCTCGCTCTTGCTCTTATATAAATGGCAAATAATTCTTGAGATTGGCTACAACAACAACAACGACGTGAAAAAGGAAAGCTCTGCCTACAACAACGAAAATTTGTGGATTTACATTTCCTGTGTGCAGCAGCAGCAGCACCAACAACAACGCCTTCGTCGGCGTTTCTTTTGTGGATTATTACTACCTAAAAACCGCTGCTCACTTTGCGGGCCGCACTCTCTCACTCAGTCGCTCTCTGTCGCACGCGAGTGCAAGGGTCGCTGCGCGAGCAAGCCAGAGCCAGCAGGCAACGAAAATCCTCGTTCGCACCTTGCTCCCCACCATTCTCTATCATACTCCACTCTCACCCATCCACTACTACTCACCATTCTGTGTCTCTCCCCTAACGTCGCTCACTGCCGTCGCCGCTAACAACTGAAAACAACAAGAACGGCAAAAACAACAACAACAACCACAACAGCGACTGCATGCTGTCGTCTATGAAGCAGGAACGAGCATATCAACAGCAGAAATTGCGATTATTTTGGATTTATAAAAAGGCAAGTAAGCAAACCTAACCAAACACTTCTTATATGTATGTATGCATGTGTGTGAGTATGTATGAATATATGAGTGAACGTCTCTCTGTGTGAATGTATGTGTGTACATGTGTATATTTGTTTAATGTGGCATGCTATAAATCCCAAAAGACGGCCCCCCGCCGCCTTACGTTTCGCTGTTGCGCGTGGAAGCGAGATAGTTGGCTGCGTGTGGCAGAGCGAGAGCGGGCAAGAGAGTAAATTGATTTCCAGTTTGATTAATTGCCGCTTGCTGCTGCTGCTGCTGCGGCTGCTGCTGTTGCCGTTGCCGTTGCTGCGGGGCGCATGTTTCTTTTTTTTTTTTCGTTTTTGATTTTTTTTCTCTCTTGCCTCAAGTTAATGCCAATTAAGGTGTTTCAATTTAAGCCGATTTGTAATTAAATGGGTTTTTTTTGTTTGATCTGACCTCCCGGCACACCCGGGCCGTCCGCTCAAGCGATTAGAAATCGTCAGGCGGCTGCGCAGCAATTTGCCCATAAATATGTATAAACATGCTAAAAACATGTCAAAAAAATTGCCATTTTCAGATTTATGGCTGACGATTTAAATTGTTGCGTTTCGTATTTTTGTTGTATGTCGCGCTCATTAAACGTGGGAAGTTTGCTTTTTAAGTATTTAGGGAATTAAATATTTCCCCCGCTGCTATTTTCTATGTGTGTATGTATGTATGTATATGTGTGTGTGTATTGTGACGCGGCGGTGACAAGCAAATGACGGCTCATTGAGTTTTTATTATTACGAATTTAAAGTGCACGAGCACACTCACACAAATACACACAGTCTGTCACACACACGCACTCACACTCGCTAAGAGAAATTCCCATAAAAGGGGCGTCGTCGACAAACAAAAGGGACGAACAGAGCAAATACATGCATAAATACAAATGAAAAAGGAATCACGCTGCCTAATGAAGCCTGCGGCGCGCAGCGCAGTCAGGTCGGCCATGTTGGGGAGTACGAAGTGACGAAACGACCAAGCGACCAAACGACGAACCGGCCGAAAGACGAACGATAAACAAACCGTGTGCTCAGTGTGAGAGAGAAGCAATGGAGGGGGAGGGATAGGAGGACCAAGCGCACGTAGCCCACTCAGCTCCCTTTTGGGCGCCGCGTTTGTCGCTTTCTCTCTCTTTCTCGCTCGCTCTCGCACTCAATCACTTTGCTTCTTTGGCCTGCTCTAGCACACGGAGAATTGGCTTCTGCTGTGTTGCGTGTTTTTGTTTTTGCTTTGATAAGTTCTTGCCTGGGCGTGTTTTGCATTTAGTTGAAATTATGAAATTTCAACAGTGAGTAAGTGTGTGTGTGCTGTGTCTGTGTGTATATGAGTACAGCAAGTGGTGTTTGTGTTTATGATAAAGACATTTATTTTCTTAATGACTTATGACTGTGCAATTCGCTTACGTTTGCCATGCGAATGAAGATAAAGAGTAATTGAAAGTTTTTTTTTACAACTTTAAAAGGATTGATTTTTAATGAGTTTTTAGTAGCACGCTTTTAAGGGTGCTGTAATAGTATAAAAGGTAAAATAAATTTGAAAGTTGATGAAAAAGGAAAATTGAATATGATTTATAGAATTAATATTTGTTATATAATCAAGAGCAAAAATATGGCTTTTATTTAATTGTGCTCAGCATAAAATTTATCAGCTGTGCATAGGGCGGAAGCTGTTTTCAGGCATTTACATAAATAAAATATATATAAAATCTATTATTCTTAATATTAAAATGTTTTCATAATGTTCGGTTTATCACTAATTTTCGTTCATTTATACATACATTTATAGAATTTTTTGTGTTTTATTTTTGCGCTGTCAGATAATTAAACAAACGGACTGCGTTAAACGCTCTATAAACAAACATAATGAAACAGAACAGCAACAGCCACAGCAGCAGCAGCCGCAACATCAGCTAGTCATCGACTGCAGATGGCGCTACAGATACGGCCAGAGATACAAGCAATAGATAGACAGATACAGAACAGCAGCAACAGCAGCAGTAGCAGCCACCGCACAATTAAGCATCTATTAGACGCGCTCTCTCGGTCATAACATTAAAAATGCTTTACACAAATGGGCAGCAGCGAGTAGGCCGCAGTAAGAAGGCAGCTAGCCAGCCCCTGCCCCAGCCCCAGCCAGTTCGCCAGCCAGCTGAGCAACCGCAAAAGCTAGCTAAATCCAAAGTCACACACAAAAAAAAAACAAAAGCAACACAAGTGGCAGTTGGGGTTGAAGTGGGAGTAGAGAGGGGAACAGGCAGAGGCAGAGGGAGGGTGGCTTGGTGGCGCGCACAATCGTGACGCCAACTTAGTTACGGTCATTAGCACCAGCAGCGCCGGCAGCGACAGGCCAAAGCTGCCTGCCTATGCTCTATATGCATGTATTAAACACACACACACACACAGACACACATACAGGGACCGGCACGCACACAGGCATACATAATAATTTGTCACACTGTCGGAGTCGCTGGCAAACGCTGGTAAAAGTTGCTCCCAGCTATAACAGCAACAACAACAGCAGCAGCAGCAGCAGCAGTCAAGACTTGTACAAGATACATGCACAACTACACAGACACACACAAACAGAGAGAGACACTCACACATACGTTAACTGACTTTTAGTTGGCGCATTGGGAGCTTTTGCCTTTTTCTGCAAAGTGTAATTGGCTTTGTTGATGTTGTTGTTACTGCTGCTGCTGCTGTTGTTGTTGTTGTCGTTGTCGTTGTTGTTGTTGTTGGTTGTTTGGCATTTGCCACCGTTCTGCGCCTCGAGACGATAACAATTTGAACGCTACAAATGTGTCAATTGCCTGACAAAACATTCCATGCACACACACACACACACATTCACACATAAGCACACCCATACATGCTTGTACGTAAATATAATTATATTTAGTTAAAGACTTGGTTTGCCTGCGCCTAATCTTTGCTTTGGCAAGCATTGTCATTTATTTTCGGAGCTTAATTAACATGCGAATCAACATGAAATGTTAATTTGATGCTGTTAACATTATGTTAGCATTAAAATTGTCATATCATCATATTTAATAATTATTTATAACAGCTGTTGCTGATGCTGCTAATATGAATATTTGAAAAGGCTAAAATGTTATTGTGTGCTAACATGCTGTTGACATATACATTAAAATGATTTACTAGACATGGGTGTTTAGCCTAGCAAATGTTAATTGCAATGTTATTTGCAAGTGCGATGTTATTTGCATACTGTTAGGTCGCTGTTAAGGTGCTTCATGCTATTTAAATGATCTGTAAGCTGTTTATTGAGCTTACGTTTGTTAACTTAGTATCACTAACTGTCTGTCATAGATAACATTTTAATTTTGCTGTTGACATTCACATTAGTTAGTGATAAATTGTTGAAATTTCTATTGCTTGCTGTTAATTTGCAACGAATTTTTTGTGATAACAGTTAAAGCACGTGCAAAAGATAATTAGACCATATCACTGGCAATTCCATGCTGTTAAGTTTTGGTTCATTTTATGTTAGTCAAATTTCTTTCAATTGAAATAGGCAGTGGTTAGGTTAACAGGCTTTTAAGCATTTCTACGCTATGTTAACTGATTTGAATATGTTATTCGATTATGTTAAGTTTCTGTTATGTCACTTTTAACTACTTTCTATGTTAGATTTATGTTAACTAACGCTATAATAAGTCAAATGCTAATGCATTACTGTTAAGCTACTTCAATTTCATGCTATGTTAAATGTTTAACAAACTTGAAGAAACATTCTCTTATATACCGAACCATTCTACTTCTCACACAACTGCATACATGTATTACTCGACAATTTTGAAATGATTAAATGGATTATGCTCAGAAATGGAAATTGAGCTGACTTCAAAATTATTTCAAGCGCCACTCGTATTCGGCTCCCTGTATTCGCGACTTAATATAAATCAGTCTGAGACACAAACAGAGCTATGTATGTACATATATACATCTGTACAGACAGATACGGCTCAGTCGCTTAAGTTGGGCCATTTGTCAGGGCCCCGCCTCGTCGACACGATTAAAGCAAATTGATTTGTTCAATTCTCATAAATGTCTGACAGTGACAAACGTTTTTTTCCCATTTTTTTTACTATTTTTTTTTTTTGTTGTTGCTTGCCTCTCGTTTCAATACGCCCATGCAAATTAACAGTCAAGTTTTAAGCTTGTAGCGAATTTCAATTGTGCAAAACTGAACGACAATAAAATATATACACGCTATAAGAGAATACTATTGAATATTAAATCAAATGTTAATTCAATAATAGATACAATAATCAATGATATCATAATAAATTGCTCAGATGAAAACTAAATTCCAATTAAACTTCAGTAAATATATATATCTAATGAAATTGAATATAAAGAATTATTAGAATACTGTAGAATTATTTTTATTTATCGTAACCTATCTAATATAGTTTATTAAATTAATATACTCTAGCCAAAATTGGATGTTCAATTAATTGGAATTTGATTTGATTTTATTTTTTGCTCTACTTTAACCTCAGCATATAAATAAATTTTATAGCATTCATTCTAATTGCGTTTAATCAATAACAATTTCAAATGCTATTCAGCTTGATGACAAGAGCTCATAAAAATGATTGTTGTTGTTTTTGCTTTCCACTTTAAGCGAATCTCAAAATTTCAGACAATAATAAAATTGAACATTAAAAAAAAAAAAAAAAATTCGTATTTTTATTTGCGAATTTGTACAACATTTCATAATAATAAACGAATGTTAAAGGCCGAACTGAACGTTTAAAAACAGAGCGAGAGAGGGAGGCAGGCGGGCGGTGTAGAGGAAGCGAGTGCGGTAGG